AAAACATACAATTATGTTGAATAGTGATTTGGATCTGGAAAACTGTACTTCATCAATAATTCTTAATTTTTCTTTTTTATCTAATAATAGAAGAGTATAAAAACACTTTATTGGAATGGCATTTCCTTACAATAATAGTTACCATTAAATGAATATAAAAAGACCCATAAAAATAATTTTAAACTGTTACACCACCTTCCATAGGGAAAATTATTAACTCTCTCTTGGGTTAATAAGTTTATACTACTTAAGTTGAGTAGGATTCAAAGAAAATAACTGTATTGGAATTGCAGTACTTAATGCCCTAATAAGTTAAAAATATTTCTATAAGTGAAACCATTCCAAATGTTTTTACCTTCCTTTAATTAAATTGTTTCACCAAGAGCCTTCAAAAATTACTTCCTAAATCAGAACAAAACTTATTTTTTTATCAATTTAAACTTACCTGAAGTTTGTGCTTCTGTATCATTGTTCTTAGGCACTGAATTGTTCAATCCTTGTTGTTCTTTGGAAGTTCCAGCAACTGGCTCTGATTCTTTCTTAACTTTAACTTCATCTGTCTCTTCCTTGTCTGGCTTTCCACTACTTGAGTCAGAATTATGACCAGAAAAACCATCCATACTCATTTTAACTTCTAACATCTCTGGACTTCCTGTCACTAATGAATCATTCCTATCATAATCTTCAACACCATTCGAACTACCAGAAAGTTTCCTAGGCCTACCTCGTTTCCTTTTAGGCTGCATGAGAGCATTTCCTAACATATTTAATGTATTTCCAAATCTTTTCTGGGGCTGTAGCCTTTGTAAATGTGGAAGATTGTTTCCTTGTTGTTGCATCAAAGAAGATGTAATTGTGTCACATTTTTCCTCATTGACTTCAGTTAAACCTTTTATTCTAAGACTTTCTGCTACCCTCAAAAAGGCTGTAAGTCTATCTTGGTCAACCGAAACTTCACCTCGATACATAAAATCAAGTAGACTGCGCATATCATTATATGGGACATCTTTGAGAATTACAATGGGATGTTTGTCAGGGTGATTAACAAACAGGGCTTGAAAATATGGGCTACATGCAGATAAAACCATCTTATGAGCCCTCAGAAGTTGTCCTTCTACTGCAAGAGTGACATCAACAAAGCTTTCATCGTGCAGAAGCTGATCAAAAACTGACAATAAATTGGATTGGTGGTTGTTCCACCTCAAACAGAAACGTTGGGAAGACATATTAGAGAGTGCTGAAGCGCCTACTCCTGGACGAAACAATGACGGTTGTAGATATCGATAATTAATTTTAGACATTTGCTGCACAACCACTTGGAAGAGATTGTTTTGGCCTTTTCTGAAAATTAAGATAGAATCTATAAATTAAACGCTTCATTTTGTTTGTTTTCAAAAACTTGATGTATGTAATCTTGAAATATCACGTACATAACCTCAAAACTACTGTAAAGATATAATGACTACAAACACATCAGATTAAAGTAAATATATCATAATAGTGTTTCCGAAACAAACATGCACGTCCAAAACGGTGAATGAATTATTTAATGAGTTTAAATATGAGCGGGAACAAGAGTTGATAGGATATGAATTCCACAGGTGTCTCCGAGCATCCGTTAATGAACTCAATATTACATCACCGGCGTTTAAACGATGCGGAAAACCAGAAAACTGCTGCATAACAGAACGTCGACGGCAAGATCTTTACAAATCGTGAGTATATTTTAATTATTGCTAACCCAAATTATTCGCCTTTTTATTTGAAAACGAGTGTTGCCCTCCGCCATTTTTAAAACATTATCACAACACCCCGCCTACTTCAATAATTTGCTACGCAGTCAACATTAATTTGTGCAACCCTTTTTTCATTAATAAATTTAACAGCTACGCAAGACCTTCATGAAAAATGTTTAAAACATGCTACTAATCAAAAACAAAATACACCTTGAATAAATAAAATAGATATAGTATCCATTTACGGAAAAATATTGATTTTAAAGCCAGGGTAAATGAAGTCGTCGACCCTAATTCATTTAGATCACGAAACCCACAACAAACCTGCACTTTCAAGCTATGTCACTTGTCGCAAGCGAGCCGGCCGTGAATATAATTTAAATTTTAAATTACCTTGTAAACACGGGGCCACTAAAACAAAAGGGTTGAATCCCTACTAGGATGAAAATCACCACAGAACTCTTAAGCCGCCATGTTAGAATTACGCTGTCTCTCTCGCAACTCGGACAAAATCGGGGTAGCTCGGGGTGAGCCGAATTCGAACCGCCAAGTCTTCGAAAGTTTTAAATCCAACTCGCGTTTTTCCCCTCGATTCTAATTTGACTGCAGGCGATTGTAATACAAACAACCGTTAAGCGGATATTTAGTACAGCTATCGCGATTCTCCGCGGTTTATTTTTAACCAGATTTTTTTCTGTGAACCGCTGTTTCGAGGGCACAGTTTCTTGTAAATAATAAGGGTGTCTTTCAAAAAGTACAGCAAAAAATTATGAATTCAACAAATTTTGCGTTCTATTGCGCAACTATGATACGTCCGTAATATTGTTTAAAGTCCAAACATAGAACTTATGTCACGCGCGGGCAGAGGGTGTGAGCAATTCACCAATAAAGCAAGATACTTACGCAATAGCTTGTCCTTGTAGCAAAAACACCTAACCGTGGCGTGTTATATCACATTTGTTCACTAACAATATACATACATACACTAAAACACCACCACAAGTAACAAACTGACAGTGTTTTCAAACTTAAACACCCGACATTTCGTGGCGAATTAGCTGAGCAGGGAGAAAAGTCAGTGGTGCGCACCCTTCGACCAACTAAATCCAACTCGATCCCCGCGCAGGTCGGGCTGAGAATACCACCACCACCACGGCAATGATGACCTTGAGTGTTGTGGATGTCTAGTGGTCTAGGCGCTGAGCGTTCAACACTCGCGCAACCCTATGTAAGAGCCGCTTTCACGACTTACTTGGGCCGCTGCACTTGTACGCTTACGTAGAGGGCTTGAACAGCAGCCCAGTGGAGTAAAACTGGGTGTGTTTCTGTTGGAGGAGTCTACTTCACAGCAGGATCGCTGCCCAGCACGGGGAGTCGACACGTGTAAGTTAACGTGGGGTGGTTGACCCCCCTCAAAAAAGAGAACAACTTTTTGACTTCTTGTAACACTTTCCGGGAATGTGACCCGTATGATACGGAATGAAAAAGATAGGGGTGGATTGGTCAAGCAGGTTTTTTATTGTTTATCTAATTGGGATCGAGGACATTTTCAGGTCGTCAAGGCAAATACAAAACATTTATATTTAGAAAGCGTACTCAACAGGTGTGAAAACGAATGGCCGAATTATTAAATTGTTGGGAAAAATCTGATTCGGTCAAGGGTTTATTTGACATAGTTCCGATATTAACCACTGCTTAGGCCAATACTCGTTTCTAATTAAGTTATTATTGCGCCCCTTCTTGTCCCTAATATCCGTTATCATATTCTATTATCGCTGTGATACCGGATATCTTTTATGTTTCATACTTCCTATATTTAGGTACCTTGGTACCCTGTGTAGCTAGTGATTCAAATTTCTTTGTTTCTTTTGGTAAAGGAAAAAGAACAACATTCTTCTAAAAATTATAAAAGTACCGACATGCTTTTCATCAATATTAAGTACATAAAATTCCTTATTTTCCCATTTTGCTTATCAGTTTTGCGTGGTTATGTGTAATACCAATGAATGTTTAACGATCACACATACCTCCATATTTGCATATTTATGTATAAGCATTCGTTTTGTGTAAAATATAAAATTTATTTGCTTTGTGGCACCCACATACGCATGTAAGGACTTACAATGTAAGTTAGAATTACAATTTATGTATTCGGCAAATTAATACCATTCACACAATGTATTTTAACCAATTTAAAAGCGATACAACATTTCTATAAAAGAAAGACGCTAAAAAGCACAATAGGAGCTAACTGGTTGATTGCATATAAAGGTTTTTGTATTTCGGAGCAATTAACCGTTTCCAAGAAAACAACTCAATATTGTATTTTTAGCTGACGTGTTAAATGTAATCAAGCCGCTACTTTCACTGAAAAACAGGAAACACAATTTCTAAAAATTTTAAAATTATTTTTCAACACAATAGGATTCCTTTTTAAGCTCCGTTATAAAGTACGAGATTAAATGTGTATTTTTGGGTCGATTTTATTTATTACTTTAAGATTAGATTAAGAAGCCAAAGCGAATTTCCCAACTCTAGTAGTTGAACTCGAAATTAAATATAAATATGATACCTTGAACCTGGAAATCAGTTTTTTTTAACGATGTCGGATACTTATTTATTCATGTAAAAGTGGATATATGTATTTGATTACGCAATGGTATGTTTATATGGTTGTACCTTATACACACACATATGTATGTACCCACAGGTAAAACACTACATTCTTATTACAGGCTTAGGTACGTGTGTTACACACATTTGTAATAATTACGGTATGTATGTATTGTAGGACCTCAACGCACTGCATAAATAAATATAATAGTAGATACTTGAAAACAATTAGCACTGACTCAGATAATTGACAGTGAATTTTATCGTTAACAATTAATTAGATAATTAATAAACAATACTCAACTCATTGCAGGTATACAATGTTGCGCTGTATACATCGAATCGTACATAAAGTATTTAAAATGTAAAATTAAATAATTCAATTTTTGTGGGTTTTTACTCCAGCGTACATTCATAGGTAAAACATTTAAATTGTTAAAGACATCATACTTTCTTTAAATCACATTGTCGTATTATAAATATTTGTTATTAATGTGCTTATGGTGACAATTAATGTCTCACCCCTATAAGTAATTGCTGAATTTACTGATAAATATGCGAAAACAATTAGGTACACTGAGACGTACATATAATTACAATTAACTTTCAGAAAATTCTGTTTTAATGGCAATGTTTATTACTATTAAATTGAGTAATAATATGCTTTTAAATACACTGTCGTGTAAACAGCCCTCTTTTCAGTTTTATGCGTGTTGTGGTTCTCTTCAAGGAAAAAACTGACGTTTTTTATTGATTCCTAATTGCAGCATTGTTTAAAATAACCTTCGAAAAAATGCAATACCTCACTATAAAAATGTATACATTGTAAGTATTGCAAAATCATTGCAAATGTAACAAAACAAAATGATACAGTTGATGATAGTTCAATATTAGTTAGTTAGTAATTTTGAACCGAGAAAGCAATTATAAAAAACGTATTATCAGAGAAATGATACACACAAAAAAACACCCAAACTCTGTAAATTTCAAAACTGATACAGATACTTCAGGAGATATTTATAACAATTTAATAACATAAAGCATAAATNCCCTCACCTTCGGCTCGGGTGGAAACCAGGGATGTTATGATTATGAAATTTCGGATGAGGATGTGGACACGGGTGTACATTCGATGGATTCGAGTAGTTTCAATGAAAGATGTTCAATTTTTAATGAACTGTAAAAGAATAGTGATTTGACTTTATTTCTAGATTATCATTTGGTTCTACAATTACATAAGAACAATTAACTTAAAACTGCGCAACTATTTGAAATTATTCGAATCTTTTATTTCAGATTCGTTTACGGTTTCGGATAAATTTTATTCTCTAGTAGAAACCACGTGGATGATAGTAAAGTCCTTTCCTAATACAGAATAAATGTGATTTCGTGAAACCCTAATAAATTATGTGCCTCCACCACGTATGATGATAATAGTTAATTTTATAATTTTTGTCAAAAGTCATACTTATACGTATCATCTAATATCAGAGAGTTATGAGTTTGTATTTGTTTTCTGTTTTCTGTTTGTCGCTCTACGGAGAATTAGGTCGTTTACGGGCTTTCTTTAGATACTATTTACAGATAAGATTATCGTTTTATACAGTAGCTTCTATAAAAAACATACAAAACAGTATGAAGTCAGAGTAAAGTAATCAAAAAAGTTAGAAATTGCTCAGCGTAATTGTGCTATGACTTTATTATAACTATTAATAAACTTTCTAAACCTCATGTATCACCTACCAATTAATTCAGTACATTATTAATAGTTTTTATAGCTTACCAGCGAGAATTGAATATTATAGAAAATGGCCGAAGTTCAGCGTTATTACAGAAAAGGAATTTTTATCATTCTTCTTTTTCTTCTGTATTCTCTTGATCTTTAATTTTATATACGTGTTATTATATTCTCATAATTGCTCTGTATTAGCGTCAGACATTGTAGAAATCACAATAAATGAAAGTATGTGCATTTCGTTCGTGTTTTGATTGTAATTCTCTTCCCTAATGAATTTTTGATGTCAGTGCGTTCAGAATAGTTAAAATATTAGAATTTCTAATATCTATTTTGAATAAATCGATTTCTAATTGAATATTACAAAGTGGTTTGTCTTGAAACTACAACGGGAGGCATGTCTTATCTGCGCTAGTAGATACGTTGTTAACTTTTTGGAGTTTCAAATTAAATTAATGTGGGTTGTGAGGTCAGGTTCAAACGCACTATTTATTTCTTATTATTGTTGTTAAAATTCTTGATTCATTTTTCCGCAGAGAAACCTTGTCCTACTCGTACTGCAAAGTGAGAGGACAAAAAGCTTTTTAATTTCGATACACTCGTAGATATACCTACTGATTGGCTTGTGTTATTTACCAAAATTGTATACAATTTATTAGAGTTTCGAGTCGGCATCTCGTTATTTGTATTGAAATATCTGACTTTTATAATTTAATTGTGAAACTTTTACAAATGAAGAATTTCCTTAAACCGCATACAAAACCGCATGACAAAAAGTAGGTGTTTCAAATTTTACAAATTTGAGATTTGGTACAAATGTATTTGTCGGCATCTAATCTTGATTAAAAATTGGAGATCGAAATTTAAAGGTGAGAATTCGCATTCCGCTAACCTTAAGATAATAGCATCAGTTAGAGGAAAATTTGACATTTTCGGCATGATCTCAAGACCAAAAAAAGAATTCACTAAAACGGGATAAAGTCCATTAGAAAGGTTATAAAATTTTCTACAGAAAAGTTGTCATGCATTCTTTTTTCAGAATAGTAAAATAATATCTTTTATTTCTCTCCATTTAACGACCACTCTTTATAACGCCGAAAAATGTTCAGTCCCTTAAGTGTTTACACTGTATGTCTAAATTTCAACGCATTATCATCTCTAAAATCCCTTACGTGGCTATTCTCTTAATTAACGATTTTATTTAAGTTCATCCCTGTCTGTCAATCTTATGATCGAATTCTCATCTACTTTTTAACTTCTGGTGACTGAACTCCAACTTTTTCACACATGTATAAGACGTAGTTTCGACTGCAACAGACAATTACAGAAGAAAAACTGCTCTAATTTCGATTTCCTGTTATAATTCTTACTTAAATACAAAAAATTAAATCAAATAAAAAAATAAATGTCTGTCACAA